GGACGACTAGTCGACCGTTGACTTGATACATACTTTGACGTTGCGCTGGCAACTTAGACGGTATCGTTATCTCGCTTTGACCGTCTTAGCGCCCAGCGACAAGGGAAGTATGTCGCCTGACCGAACTTGTGATGGCCACCATGCGATATCTGCTGACTTCAAGGGACAAGGCAAAGGCGTGAATGCTTGAACGTCAGGTTTGTTTTTGAGGATCGTTGTGTCAGTCGTTGACTGGGCTGGGCTAGTCAAAAGGTCACAATGAAAAATTGAGCTTATTCTTTGCTTCTATTAGTATTTTATCGGAACCACCAGTAGATCAGATTTAAAAGCTGTATATGCCCCATTTCGTTTACGATGCTAAAAGGTTAGTAGTAAAATTTCCCAACAATCATTGAAGTTAAAATTGAAGTTTTCCGTTTCTTTTCCCAACTTAGTGCAACCTTTATTAGACTTAAATCAGTATGTATGAATAAATGAATTATATATATTTATATAATTCAATGTAAACGTCATCTCTCCTAATATCATTGTGGGAAAATTCTACCACCAGTTCATAATCATCTTCAACGAGATAGGGTGAATACATCTCATATTACTGATTTACTGGTAGTCTCGAAACTCTACTCAAATACGAAAAATAAGTAACGTAGTCGATTGTTATAGCAAATATGCGTTTGCTTCATCGACAATCCCACCAAAGAATATGATGTGGCAAAAGGCCTGGCCTTCCTTGAAATTCACATTTGCCCTGTGACCCAAGGACACTCGTGGCAATGTGGTCGAGTGGGTAACGTGTCAAGCTCCCATTTTGCATTGTCATGGTTCGACTCCAGCTGGGGGTGTTTATAAGACCGAGGCGAGGTCGAAACTACAGTCCACTCCAGCCGAGACGTGAACAACTTTTGGAAAAGCAAGGCAATGTGAAATCCAATGGAAGCGTCAGCTCTACTCATTTGATTGTGGCAAACTTCTACTACCAGTCCTTCATCACCTTAAACGAAATAGGGTGAATACATCTCATATTACTGATTTACTAGTAGTCTCGAAACTCTACTTACATACGAACATGATAAACTTGTGTTAGGCTTTCGCCCGTCACATGACAGACATCTTTAGATCAAAAAAACATACTTGGTTTAGTATACTTTTGTGCCATATCGTAAATTATGGTTTCTTTCACTGAGGATGTCTATCACTTGACAGACGAAAGTCTAGCACAGGTTCATCAAAGTCGTAAAGAAATAGAGTTTCGAGGCTATTAGTAAATCACTGATATGAGCTGTATTCACCCCATTTCGTTTAAAGTGATGAAGGACTGGTAGTAGAATTTTTAACGATGATATGAGTAGGGCTGACGTTTACATTAAATTTCATATATATATAATTCATTTTTTCATACATACTAGAAGATGAGACGAAAACTCAATCTTACAATTTAACATTCTTTACTCCTTTGGCTTCCGATAAAACCGATAAATGAATTTCATATATGAAATGTATTCATTATATTTCGTTTAGCGTGAAAAAGGTATTGATTGCTGAATTTTCCCACAAACATGTGAGTAAACCTTACGGTTCCATTGAATTTCACAAAACCTCGCTTTTCCAGAAGTGGTTCTCATGCAGACAGAATGGGACTACAGTTTTGATTTCGCCTGAAATGCTCTCATCATCCCCCTCAGCGGGAATCGAACTGTGATTATCTAGCATATAATCTCAACATAGTTACCACTACGCCACATCTCACCGAGTACCCTTGAGTCATAGTGCAACTGTGAATTTCAAGGCCAGGCATTTTCCCATATCACATTCTGTAGTGGGATTACCAATGAAGCAAAGTTATATCTGCTATAGCAATCAACGAAATTTTAAAAAATTATTTTATTAATAGTTTTTCAAGACTACCAGTAAATGAGATATATAAGGTGTGTTCACGCTATTTCATTGTGAGAAAATGTAGCTACCAGTCCTTTATCACCCTGAATGAAATAAGGTGAACACATTTAACACAGAATTCGAATGCCCTTCTTAGCAGTCTTGATGTCGTAAGCGTCTTCTTTTTCGTTGACGTGAGGAGGATAGGCGAACATGCTTCGCTTCTTCCTTTGCTTCTATGAACGATTGGCAGCCAGTAAAGTTGATGAGTCTCTATTCAATCGCATGAAGGTCTTACCTGGCACAAATTTTCGTTTGGAAAGAAAATTTGGTTGGTAGCGACTCGTGAATTAGCCTTATATTAAACCGAAGCATAGTTGAGGTGGTGTGAAATGAATAATGCTGGATTGTGCCGTCCTACAACTCGATCCATCTTTTTTGAGCCTTCATCCGTCCTACAATCACAGGCATGGTCACATCAAGAAAGCATACTATACCAAGCGATAAGATGCCGACTGCAAGCATACTCACCTCTCATACCTAAATTTACTATCTTCATGAGGCATCTCAAAAGTTTTACAGCCGACTACTTCTTTTAAGGTGAAGAAGGACTGGTAGTTATCTTTTCACAAAGTTTTATGTGTAGGCCTCACGTCACCATTAAAGTTACCATAGCCCTGCTTCACAAAAGGTATAACTATCTGGACATGAGTGAGCTGCAGTTTCGACCTCGGCTAAACTGATCTCATCAGCGGGATTCGAACCTGGGTTGTGGTAGGGCAGTGTATAGTCGCGACAGGTTAGCAACTATGCCACACTGCCCAGCTATAAAACTGGAATGCCATGATTTCGTTGGTTACTTCATGCGCGCCCTACATGCTTGCCGATAGGTGAGGTTGATGCATAAAATGAAAGTGGATTTAGTCGCAGCTATTTTCTTACGTAAATAATTTAACGCAATATTATCTCATTTTTAAGCATTATGTGTTATGCAGTATTGGGTAGTTTAATAATCAATTATATGACCAAACTTAATGACTACTTTTTGTAAAAAGCAATACTAGCAATTAAATTGCTGGATTAATGCATTGATTACTATTTTGCCATCGGGCAGCATGGTGAGGAAGGCTTAGATCGTCTCCTGCCTCCATTTAACCAATATGAAAGTAGCATAAGATTCACAATGGGTATAGGAGAGAATAGGTCTTTATCTTTTTTGGTTGTTTGGGATATTGGAGAAGATGTGTATATTAGAAAGAGATATTTATAGGAAGCCAACATATTTTGGCTCTTTCTCAATTTTATTTTCAACCCTAGTTACAAAAGTAAAGTTGAAATTTTGAAGTCCATTATTATTAGGAGTATGTGACTAGGGGATAGGGGCTATTTAACTAAAGAGTTATAACAGCTGAAAGATTTACTCTTGGTAGTGTTTGCCTTTAAAGCAAAGTTTCCACATTTTTGTACGCCTGATGAGATTCATCGGATAAAGACTATATGTTAACCTTTTTCTCACAATGCTGTTGGTTGCCATCGTATCTCACTAATCAATGCTTCTCCGAAGAGTTTCGTATCTCGGCTAGACTGAAGCTTCGACTTCGCCTGGGTCTCGTCTCCTGGGCAAAAGGTGTATTCCACCATTGATGAGAAAACCTTTTCGGGAAAGGATAATTGCGATTCCCTGACATCGTTAGGCTAAATCATATAATTGTCGGAAAGCTCAAATAGCCTCCCTCAAATCGGCCTTAACATGACTGAGTACTTATCCAAGAAGTACCGATAATTTCTAGGTCTAGTCACTCAGAGAATCACCTAAGAAGACCTGATTCAGGCACACACCATCTTTACTACTGAGGAATTATGGCCCATAAGAAAATAGGATGGAGTATTTTATGTCTAAAGGCCAAAAATGATCTTCGTATCCAGCCTCGCTGGCCAGATTCATCAGCTTATTCATCCAGAAGAATGTCCTTTAATCTGCAAGCCCGATCGCACGAAACAATTTGTCACATCTATTTTTCACCGGTATTTTTCTGATAGAATGGCAAGTTGAAAACTGCACCATATTGGAGGGATGAAGAGAAAGACGCCCTCCGAAATGACTCGCAACATTCACCTATTGGCCTTAAGAAGCAAGCGTACTTTTGTGAAAAACAAATGGTGGAGAAGTTACCACGACAACATAACACCTCCAGGCACAAAAGAGCCCCTGAGAGTTTGGTTTACGAACAGTCTACCTTGACGACAACTCGCCCTGGCGACCATCAGATTTTATCCACCCGACGCAGCACCACTTCAGTTCTGCGGGATTATCGCGATTTCTATCCAGACCTAATCACCCATTTCGGCAAACTATCGCTTCTTACTGCAGCACCCAGTTGAAGGGGAGCCAAGCAGACAAAGCCTGAGCAGTTCACAAAAAATATCAGTGCCTACCAGATACCGTGATGGGTGATAAAACGCACATAATAGCCAAAACAATTGAAAGTAGTCTGATAATAATTGGCCGGCTTTTGCCATCCGCGTGTTCCCGTCTTCTTGGTAGGGATTTTATCAGAAAAATATATTTGTCTAAGACTGTTTATCCTTGACATGAGTTTGGTAGCGGAAACTCAGATAGCAACGCATAGGCCAGACTCGTTGCTGCCTGCCTCAGACTGGCTTTACAGCTCAGCCATTTTTTGTGCTTTTTCACTTTGGCCCAATATTTGTTGTCCTTTCATGTGCCGGGTCAATCAGTGAAATCAGTCAAGTCCAGAATAATGCCCATTTGGTTGGTCAGACTTTTTCCAGTAACGTGTCTGGGAATGCTTGTATCCGTAGCACACAGCAGGGGCGTGGGGAAATTGTAGAGCTGGCAAAGGTAAGGCGATATGGCACAAAGCATCGACTTCACCAGGCGTCGCCATCCTCATTAACAGTGGCCGAGTGCCAAATAGTCCTGCCTCTGGTGCACCACTCCACTGGCAGAGCGACTAACGGAAACTGGGCGGATTGACGCATTTTCCTACGGAGTTGATGGTTATTTGCGAAGAGAAATTTCCCATTTTTGACCGTGAATCGGCCAAGAGACCTCTCACCAGCCATCGCAAAGCCTAGGCGACTTGAGGAGTGAAATTGGGCACTCGGCAATTCAGCCATATTAATGATGTAATGAGAAGGGTTTACTTGCCTCCAAATTGCCAAATTTGCGAGTTCTGTCGGTTTGCATGCTCGGAATACCACTCCTTCTGAGCTGGTAAACCAATTGGTCCTTTGAAACATTGTCTTTCCCAAATGGTGTGAGTATAATCGAAATGCGCGAGATTTAGACAAAGGAAATTCCATAAACTCGTGAGGCAAATTCATATGATTGTTGGAAAATTCCAATATCATACCTTACATCAAATT